AAGAGCATGGACAATGCAGGAACACATGCTTCCGCTTCGTCTTATTAGATTCGGTTCAAAGCAAACGACCTGGAAATGCCCAACCCGCTATGTCAACATTGATGGAGGAGCTTCCCCTCATCCAACGAACATGGACACTGACTTTTCCGTCGACGAGCCTCACCGAGTGACTGAAGTGCAGTCTAGGATGGAGGAGTTTGGTGGACTGGGTAAATCAATCGTCTTAGGCTACTGGTCAGATAAAATCAGCGAATATACAAATCGCAAACTCCGGCGACCTAGCGACAAACTACCTGCGTGTGCTGCTCTGGCAGAGACTTTTGCGAAGATATCGGGCTGGGAAGCATCCAATTACCTCGCGGGATTATGGGAAAACGACATCCAAGCGGAACTGCTATGGTATCGACCTGAAGAAATAAAGGCAGAGAGATTTTCCGGTCCAACTTGGTCATGGGCATCTCTTGATGGACCTGTCACATTCTTTGAGCACAAATTGCTCGAGTATGGTGGTGTTGTCAAAGCGCGAGCGGGGCTTGAACAAAGTATGATCATCCACAAAGTCGAGGGTCACAAATACTCTGAAGTTGAATCGGGTCGCCTGTGGTTGAATGGTCGCCTGCAACAAGCGCATTGGGATGGCGATCATCTTCGCCGGAGCATTAACTCTCCGCAGGCCCTACCCCTTGAGATCCGATGGGACTCGTCTAGTGGAATCAGTCCGCGGGCGGTATGGTGCTTTGAAATAATCGGGTCATACATCTCATTGGGCCTTCTGCTCGGAACGCAAAATGAGACGGACTTTGAGCGTGTTGGCTACTTTGAGTGCAATGACATTGCAGTATCTGAGAAGTGCTTGTTTGGTGGGGTAAAACCACGGACCATCATTCTTCACTAGTACTTTTTGCTCCTTGCTTTGATTGGAGATGACATATAGAATTCAATAGCACGAAATGAAACAGTACAATATTTGACACGGTTTGGTACGGACATTCGAAGGGGCATAATAGAATAGCTGAACTGCTCGGCGCAATTAGAGATAAAGTAGTTGTAACTAGACATGGACAACTAACTACAGCACTCAATTGTACTCTGTGTCGCTCGTCGGTCGTCTCTATACGTACATGAGCTCGAGGTTCCGTTAGGTTCTATGGTGATGCGGGTCTGTTCTGTTGTTAACACAGTGACCCATATTGGATATGCTGCTAGTCCCAGAATGTTTACGGTGCAAAAAAAGCCAATTCGGCAAAACAGGGACTACATGTTACCCTTCAACAGACCACTTTGACACACCTCAACTCGAATGTAGGTCTGGAAGTGGCATGTTCCTGCATGAGCGGGGCGCCAAGATGTCATTTGCCAAGCGAGCAACCTGTAACTATCAGGCAGGTAGGCGTGTCAAACTAAGGAGTAGTTTATATGAACATTACGGCGCAGTCATATTGACATTACGGCACAGTCACTTTCTTCATCTCCCACACCCTAATTCTTCCTGACAAGATCTCTGCCATACTTTAGAGGACACCATGACATCTCGTTTGGACGATATGGGGGGGCGAATCCGCCAGGATCTCCTCTACCGCCTGCGCTGGAACCTTCTCGCCGCCTTGGATAATATTGACATTACGACTGGGCCTCAAGATGAGGAGAGCGTCGTCCCATTTTTCAGCGATGCTGCCGCGGAGGAGTCAATTGCCCAACCACCGCTTAGCCGTGTTGAGGTACGCATTGACGACTGCCTGGCGAATAGATTAGAAGAGATGTATTTTGATGAAGAAGATCAATCCAACCCACCAGCTGATCTAACGATTGAGAACGCCGACGGTAGTCCCATCACAGTGGGGCAGTTCGTCAGCCAGGTGCATCCGTACATGAACGAACACATGGAGGAAAATAAGAAGGTTAAGGGTGAGATCTACGGGAGAGCTGAGAAGCGGGAGGACGGGACTGAGGTCAGAGTCAATATCTACGGGCAACCTTACCTACCTCCGGACATTGGATTTTTTTTCTCGCGAGTTTGGGCAGTGGGCCACAATGATTACGTTAGACTTAACGTTTCATCGTTCGCCGAGGGAGAAATTGGGACCTCCGTGGATGACTTTTGGGCTATTCAGTTACGTCAAGCTCGCATGTGTGAGCAGAAGCGGTACGGCGAACAGGCGACTATTGAATCCCTCCCCCTGTCAGAGCCCGGAAATACCTCAGTCTAGCCCAGAATAGTTCTGCGTCATCACAGCTCACGGCCTCAGGAGATTACTAGAGACAGGGCCCACTCGTGTCGACTCTTAGCCGTAACATAGGGGCCGGTCCTTGTTGAGACGACAGGCTCGTTTGGGAACTCTAGTCTAGACTAGGGACTAGACATAGAAAGACACAATACATATATATGTTGTTGATCATACCAGACGCCTATGGTCCGAACGAGCTCGTATCATGTGAGGCTAGCCTCCCTGATACAGGAACTGCGACTTCACATCACATCACAACGTGATATACCGACCTAGACTCGAATACATACAAACTATCCAAAGCCATCTATTATCACTTTGTAAGGAACTATCTTGGAGACAATATGCTAAGGAATTAATGTAGTAATGCTGATATATAGGCCAATAAAGAAACATAATGCAACTTCTTCTCTATCTCTTGTTCACAAGTTTCGCCCAGGCACAATATGTCCAACGGTGGACGTACAGACCTGTTATTAACGCACAGGGGCAGTGGCAGACGAAACCGCAGTGGCGCCCCGATGATAACGTTGGTACTGTCTGGCAAGATGTTATAATCCCTTCCGGGTCTATTGGGTTAGAGTAAGTGGGATTTCCCAGCATCTAACGTTAGCATCACTATATCAAGAGCAAAAAAGCTCTTAGGCATCACACCAGCTCCCAGGGCTTTAACTGATAGCTGGAGATCACTTATATATTGACCTGCTTCCAGATATAACTGCGCGAAAATGCCAGCCATATGGCAAAATGTTCAAAATTGGCACAACAACCCTGCATTATCGGCATGGCACACGCAGAGCCAATACGCCGGTTGGTTTACTTATGATATCGGTTCCAGCAGGCGACGAACGGGTCGTAGTGACCGACGAAGGGACGAAATGTGTCCGACGGACACTTGGAAAGGCACCATTGCCCAGCCCAGATGCCCTGAGGCTAATCAACCTCGAGTCGTACCGCCTTTATACGATATGAACGGGGTAGGAGTGACTGCACTGGCCCCCCAGACCGGCCCCCAGGTCTACCTAATTATCGCTGGTGGAAGGGACGATCCAGCTGTAAGGCAACTTCAACGCTCTGGACGTAAGTACTCCTGCGACGAGTTTCCACCGGCATCTTGGATCGAAGGTGGCGTTGGCATCCAGGGACAAGGTGGCTTGCCGGGCACAACGTATTGTGCACCAATCGCTTTCGCCTTCCCACCGTCAACAGTCAGCTCTTGAACCCCAACTACCATTGTTGTTAGTGGAAGGAAAGGTTGCACTAGCACCGGTACTGTATCCTGTACGGACATTGCAGACAACCACAGGACCTCAACCATCGAGATCAACAGATCCACCACTTGGCCCTGGGTTACATACACTTCAAGCGATACCCGTTACACAACTCGGCCAGACCCACCCACCACCTTGACCAGTAATCCGGATCCTGCAAACAGCAATACTCCAGGTGGTGATCATCCTGGCGACGGTGGCGGCGACGATGGAGGTTGTCCGTTCCCCTACATCTGTCCACCCCCACCACCGAAAATACCCATTCCCCACATAACCATCAACTTCGGTACACCAAAACCCACCACCACTCCATGCGCCTGGGCAACACTCACATGTTTTACCTTCGCCCGGACCCCCCGGAACTGGACCGAACCCCACACCCAGCCCAGGCTCCATTCTGTCTCCAATCGACGAGAATGAGGAGGAGGAAGAAGAAGAAGAGGAAGAAGAAGACGAGGAAATCTGTGCCTTGCCACAAAAGACGACCAAGACCGTTGGCGTCACCGTCACCGCCACCAGCGAAAAAACAGTCATCGTAGAGCCATCAACAACATCGAAAGCACCAGCACCAGCAAAAACCCCCGATTTCAGCAAAGACCAAACGAAATGCTACGATAGCGGCCAGTGGACACGTCGCGCACGCATGGTCAACGCTGCGGACACCATGTGTGACAGCTATCTCAAGGGCAAAACGCTGATGGAAAAGTGGAATCCGGGCGAGGTAAAGAGTACATTCGATAGAGTGGATTCTGAAGTCACCGGGGTGCAAATTGTGGCATTTGTCGAGGCCAATCCCGGCTCGGGATGCGAATGGAAAGTGGACGTGAATCAATGCAAAACGGAGTTTAGGAAGATTATCGATGAGTGTGACACGAATGGGGAGAATCGCAAGCAGGGCGGGAGATTGGTGGGCGACTGTTTAACGTGGAGACTGGATCCTAATTCGGATCTTTGAGTGTGCGCGTGCCACCGCCGCCGACAATGGGGGACGTCTATGCTGATCACAGGCATATTAATGTTTTGTTTCGGACTTCCTACATAGGTGGTTGTTATGATACCAGGCATGATGAGGTAGGGCCGCTTCGAGCCACTGCGTTATTGTAATACTCTAGAGCAGCATAGTTCAATTGGGTAAGGCCGGAACAATAGAGGGGAACACAGCAGAAAATTTGCGTATCCAATTCAATAAGAAATGATGATTTGAACAATTCATATAAGTGAGCTATGATGGTACATATACAAAGATGAGGGTAACGCATGTAGCACAGCTACCATCTCCTCGGTTATTTTTGCTCTTAACAGTAAGCGTCCATGTCCGTCTCGGCCAGTCAGTGAGTTAGCCTCCCAGTCCCGCATGCATTAGCGAACCAAAAGAAAACTTCTCCTTGACCGCCATCTCTCGGCGTAAGACTCAACATCACTTTTCAGATGCTTACTCTCGCGTTAAACAAATAGCCAACAATATGGATTTTTTAATTCTCCAACTCTCCATCAATCAGTTCAATCCGATATGGTCTAGTGGCTAGGATTTGCCGCTCTCATCGCAGAGTCAGTTCACTTCTTGCAGTGCCGGCAAGGCCCGGGTTCGATTCCCGGTGTCGGAATACGTTCTTTTTGCCGTTTACAGGTCCCCGAAGATGGTGTTGGGGATGGTGGTTGAGCAGTGAGCTGATCAGGGGCGATTTTTTTTTCCGGTCACGTGAGCTCTCTCCTATATTCGGATCACGTGAGTTGCACCAACGTGTGGATAAACACACCTAAGGCGTATGTAGTAGAATCTTGAAATGGCTCAAAAGCATTAGTTATCTATTTATTATTTTGGAAGCATTCAGATAATTTAATGCTGACTTTTGGTTTCGTTACTCGATGCTGCACGGTAGAAGCTTTTACCTATGTTGGCTGCGACAGCGCAGACTTCATACCGTGAAGACTTGAGCAGCTCCACACACACGCACATCAAATCTCAATCATGGCCGTTGGAAGTGACTATGATGTGCTAAATACTTTGACTGCTTCGACCAGAACGAGCGCTCCAACGCTAACCGCTCAGCGCTAACACCGACGCTCTGAATTTTGACATGAAACCTTCCATTTCTCAGCGCAAGTGCCTGTTAGTCATTCATTTTTGTGGTTAATTCCTGGTGGCTTTTAATCATGCATCTAAAGGATCATGAAGACAGCATGCAAGCAAGCGGCCTAGAAACATCCACAAGCTGTGAAAGCGAGCGACTGCGAAGAACTGCAAATCTTTGTATCACATAGCATCTGTAAAGCACAAAGACAGTTTATACAGCTAGTCCAAAACCAGTGAGGATCAAAAGTTCATTTCATTTTCAATCTACCCGCCCCTCATTTCAAAAGTCTACTTGCAACCACACCCAATATCCCCCGGGTTCGTCGCCTCCGGTTCCTACGGGAGACACGACAGAATCGGCTTCAACTTGTTGATAATCTGGTTCTGAACCGCCACATCGTTCACATCCGTCTTGTCATTCGCATCGCCGGGACTGATAGTAACATAGCAACCATCCTTGCTGAGCGTCGTGACCTCCCAGGGCAGCCGCGTAGTCCCGCACCAATCCGCATCAGGCGGGCTTGTTAGGCCCGCATAAATGCGTGTAAAAATGTACTTGAACTGGTTGGCGCTGCTGCACTTTGTCGCCGAAACATCGGGGAAGTTGACGTTGAGGAAGACGTTGGCGGGGAGATAGGGTTTGCCGCTGTTGATGATGGTGGTCGTGATGTTGAGGGCGAGGTCAGCGTAGACTTTGCTGTGCAGAGGTGTAGGTACATTCCAGGCTGTAGCGTCGCCGTTGCCGCCGGAGAAGGCGATTGCGGGGATCTGTGCTGTCTTTGCGGCGTAGACGGCTGCGCCCACGGTGCCAGAGACTAATACGGTCGGTCCAATGTTTGATCCGACGTTGGGACCCGACAGGGCGAGTTCGGGTGCCGCGCCACTCCAGAGCTTGGGTGCTGTGACGTCGATGCCGGTCTTGATTGAGGTGACGGGGTAGGAGTTGACATAGTTCAGGCGTGGATCGCTGGCATTGGCTCCAGTGGGAGGGCTCCCGCCAGGGCAAGAGACATATTCGCAGCCATCAGAGTCGACAGTCGTTGGTGGAGCATCCATAGAGCCTACTGTAGTTAGTATTTGGTGCAGAGTATTTACAGTATCGCGGACCTTTTCCCGACTCATTCTCAGCTGGTGCGGAGAGTACTACTTCGTGGCCAGCGGTGGTCAAAGTATTGAAGAGCGTCCGCAGGTTCGCCTCAGCCCAGCCATCGTCGTTCGATTGAATAATACGGACGCCTTGAGCCAGAGGAAGTGTAGCGGCGAGTAGGAGATACGACCGCATCTTGAAGAATGGTGGAGGTAAGAATTGAATTGATACCGGGAGACAAGACAATCGCTGGGACACGAAGCACTCACGGCCAAACAATCTGTGAAGATCAAAGTAAAAGCGAAGCGAACGGTGTTTATACGCCAGCCACATCACCCCGGTATAGCAACTGCTCATTCCAGCTTATTACCCATGGCAGCGACCCGAGACGCATGATCGCTGCCGCCTCCGAAACAAGCGGAAGCAGCCATGGTAAAGTCAGAAGTATAGCGCAACGTGCGGGTCTTCGCGCTATGATTGACGGCCGCGTAGATTGGAAAGGCAGTGAATGCCGGCTTGCGAGCTGTGAGTGGTTGTTGTGCTCCGACGCGGAGGCAATTCACGGAGGTGTCATGGCCCGATTCGTGATAGCGCCACGGCAGGGTACTCTGATTTGGCAGGAGCCTCCGAGACGGGCCAGCACGTGTGATTTTGGCGAGTTTCGATTCACTGGATATTTTCCGTTATTTTTTGGGGTCGGCCCGTTGACTATAGACTACGTGCATACATTTGTTGCCCGTCACGGCAGGACTTCGTCACCTTCCAGATCTGATCGTCTCCGCAATCCACTTCATAGATGGGTGCATACCGACAGCTTCTGAATGTCACTCCATCGTCAAATCTGTTCCGGTCATGCTCATCGGACTGTCATGAAATGTATAACTGCTCAAAACGTGCTCTAAGGCGAATGTGCCATAGGCCGATTGGCAGGTCACTTTCCCTACAATGCTGAATCATGACCAAGGCCTTCGAATGAGCGCATCCTGTACAATCTATTATCATCCTCGACATGCTGCTTTTACTCCGGGTTCCAATAACGCCATGTGTATGCCTTTCTTGCTAGCGCCGCGCTTCAACTACACGATGTTCGCAGGCTTTACAGGCTGTTGCGCGTAGAAATCTCCTGCAGCGCCTGACTGGTATGGCGGTAGATACTGGCTGGGCTGGGTTTGAAGTTCGACTGGTGCGCCCGCTTGCGAATGGTATGCGGTGGTCTGCTGATACGGCGGGGCGTTCTGATATTGTGTAGGATACGGAGCTGGGAACGTAGACGGTGCTGGAGCCGCAGGGTTATGGGCTGGAGCGTATTGTCCACGCTGAGCTGCCTTCTTCGCGCGATTGTAGCCGACTATGGAGTAGATGAGGAGCCCGACAAAGGTAAGGCTGAAAGAAATTAGTGACTGAGCAGCATTCTGCGAGGCGAATGAACGTACAAGACAAAGATGCTGAAACCAATGCCTACAGCACTCGCGCCTCGCCCTATAGCTACGAAGTCCATGATGAGAACGCCGAGCCAGAACCCAGTTTGAAAGCAGTTCATTGTGAGGAAAGTGCCGGGTTTCAGAGCGTCGCGGAGGAAGAGCACGATCGCGAGGATATCGACGAGCAGTACAGCGACAATGAAGAGCATGAAGATGACGACAGATCTGAAGCAGTTAGCTCTTGTCTTCTCTACAGGGTGCACGTCGCGACCTACGCTACCGCTGGTTTCGTGACATCCTCAATGTCGTTGATACTTCGCAAAGTGTACGCATATGCGGCAATGATGAATATCATTATACATATGCGAACAATCCAGAAGGGTACGAGGATGCGCTTCTTCCAAAGCACTGGTTGTTGCGCCATGTTGGTGAGGCTGTCGAAGTCGGTGGTGTATTGGGTGTTTGCGAATGACGTCCACGAGCGGTCGGTAGAAATACTGCGCAGTGAGTGCAAACGAGCCGAGCAGAGTGATGTGAGCAAAATGTTCGAGAAGTCGTTGGCACTTTTTGCAGATCAACATGCGGCTGGGGTGCACATGCTAAGTTCAGGGGAGGACGCCTTCCCAGGTTACCAGTGTCGATGAAACGCGTGGTTGGTGGCCCTGCGCATCCTCATCTCCATCCTTCGCCCCCAGGCGTTTGCGAAGTACAATGCGTCATTCTTGTATTTCTGCAGTGAACGAGGAGCGCATTACTATCTGGGAACATGAGCATTTGGAATGCGACAAAAGGCATTGCTGCCCTGACAACGATTTCACTTGGCTGTCGCGAACTTTCAAAGGGTCTTGCGCTAGGCGTGAATCGATCGACGGGCTGTGTGGCTGAAACATGGCTCGCCCCTCATAACGTCGTCTCCACAGCGTACCGCAAGACGAGCATAAAAAGTCGTGAATGACTATGACATGGCGGAGAGCGCCGAGGGGCATGTCTTTTACTCCTACACGACATACCAATCCACGGTCATCTGAGAACAAGATAGCTGACTACGTTTGTGATGGCGCGTTCCGACCCCAGGCGGGGCTGGCACGAGACCCTTGCACGCGATGCGGCCGCGGCTGGCGATAAGCCGCCGATAAGAGCGACACCTTGATGGCCAGCACGTCAACACAGCTTCGAACCGTCTCATCTTGCTTGAGATAATCCAACATAACTCGCAAACCCTAATAGTAACGGCTTCATCATGGGTGCCAATCAGTCAAGACCATCCGATGCTGCAATCAACGAGAAGCTGCTTGAGCGACTCCAAGCTCTCCACATGAAGGATGAACGACCCATGAATGAGAAGGATGGCTATGTCGTTGTTGGCGGAGAAGCTCGTATGTCTGTCATATAGTGAATGAAAGCGGATAGACTCTGACCTGCCTGTCAAAGCACCCAAGTATACACCAGGCGTGAAATATCAACGAGATGTATCTGCTGCCGCTATCAGTGAGTGGGAGAAGGAGCTCATGGAGGATCCAAAGGTACAACAAGACGCCATGCACTGTCCCTTACAGACTCTGACATGCGTAGAACCGACTAGCTCTTGCAGCTCTCAGCTCCAACCCAGCCAACGCCGTACTCTCCTCGCGATCAGCCACAATCTCAGACACCCAGAACTTCAACATCAAGATCCCGTTCGAGGGCTCACCCATAACCAACCAAGCTTCGTCCGGACGGTGTTGGCTCTTTGCCTCGACAAATGTATTCCGTATTGCAATAATGAAGAAATACAAGCTCTCGGAGTTCCAGCTATCGCAGGCATATTTGTTTTACTGGGATAAGATTGAGAAGGCCAATTACTTCCTCGAGAGCATACTCGATACAACGAGTGAAGAGATAGATAGTCGAGTTGTGCAGGCGCTCATGGCAAGCCCAGTCGGTGACGGAGGGCAGTGGGTAAGTGGACCATTCCCGTATTGTCTCATCTGAGTGATACTGACCAATTTCCCAGGACATGGTTGCGAATCTAGTCCAAAAATA